GGACAAAGCGGTGCATGTCGTCTGTAATCCCAGTACTTGGGGGGGGGGGCTGAAGCGGGAGGATGGAGCAACCTGTCCATGTAAGATTCAGCCTTTTCACCTCCAACCCCCTACTAAAAAGGGGGAAAGAAAGTAAGAACACTAAACCCAGTCGTGTTAATTCAGAGAAAACTATGTATTCAGTGTCCAGCACCCTGATGTTCAGTAAGAATTATGAGTGAGCTCTGTAGGCAGCAGCGACCCTGGCTCTACCGGAGATGCCGCCGCTCTTCTGGGCGTTGCCGCTGACACTGGCAAGGGGACTCTGGGGACAGACACTCACTGCATTCTAGGGCATTCCCAGTCCCTGAACAGCATCATCTGATGAGTTCTTTCCGGGTCCTGGCCTCAGTTTCCCCACTAGGAAAATGAGAGTAATCCCTTCCTTGAAAGATGGGCACGACAGAGAGAAAGAAGGGAGAGGGAGAGAATGAGCCAGGAAAAGGAAAGGAAGGGAGAGGGAGGGGTGAGCGGGATAGAGATGGAGGGAGGGAGGTGACGGAAAGGGGAGAAAGGAACCACACCGACGTGCAGACTTGTGAGAGAAGTTGAACTCTTTCAAAGCGCTTGGCACCATGCCTGGCCCAGAGGTGAACCGGCCTGTTTATAAGACGTCGCTGTCACAGGATCCCGCGCTGGAGATGACCGGGCACGTGCCACAGATGCTGCCCGAGAACCCAGATCTGGGCGGCCCACGCCCACTGTACCGGGTCGGGGTCTCTTCCTCCCAGTGGAGCCCCGAGGTGCAGCCTCGTCTCTTAGCGGCGTCCGGGCCCAGTAGTGAGCGAGGGTCCGGGCGTGCCCGTACCCCCCACCTCCTGCCTCAGTTTCTGGCTCTCCAGGCCCGTTACGCCGCGGAGTCCAGCCCTCCACGCCCGAGGCTGGGCGGCGATGCGGCCCGCCTGTCCCCGTGAGCTCGAACCCAACTTCTGCAATCTCGCGAGGCCCCGGCCCGGCCCCTGACCGACCCGCAAGAGGTACCTGAGCTGCGACTCATGCGCTTCTCCCAGCCCGGCGGCAGCTTCTCCTCGTCCGCCATCTTCCCTCCTGCCGCAGCGCCCGCTCCGCCTCCGCGGCTCTGACCCCGCGCCAACCTGCGCCGCTGCTGATTGGCTCGTTCAGTAGAGACTTCCATTGGACGGCCCCGCGGCGCCTCAAGCGCTCTAGCATTTTATTGGACTCACCGGCGATTTCCTGGCCCGCCCCTGCACGTACTCTCCGCCCACCGTCCCGACATCACTGCTGATTGGCCCATCTGGAAACAACGTCCATTGGACGCCCAGGCTTCCTTTAAGCGTCAAAGGTCTCTGCAACCTTCCTGGTGGGCTTAGCCCACAGAGTAGAGCTTATTGATTGGATTCTGCGACAGCCAGTCCGCCTTATTGAGCCGCTCACGGAGGTCGGTCGGCCTCTGCGCGGAAGCGGCTCGCTGGTAAGCAGGTATCTGGTGCATTTGCTGTATTTTACCGTTGCCATAGCAATGCAGTTGCCTTGGTGACGAGAAGCTAAGTGCCCAAAGCCTAAATTTGGCTTTTCAGTTCTCCTCTTCCCACCTGTTTCCTCTAAAGCGAGTGGTCCTTTTTCGTTTTTGCAAAGCTAACCATTTCACTAGTCTATTCACCCACTTTCCAAGTCTTTTTTTTTTTTGGAACCTACTTAACTTATTCCTTCTCCATCTGGCTCCTTCCTAAGTCCTGGCTGGGTGATAGCACTGCCACAAGGATGAGGAAAGGGAAGAGGGTGGGCGGCTTGGACGACCAGTTTAAGTCAATTGACAGTTTATGGAAGAAACTGACGTGGTGGTGCATAACCAGCATTCAGGGGTTCGAGGCCAGCCTGGTCTACAAAGTGAGTTCCAAGGCAGCCAAGGTTACACACAGAAACCCTGTCTGAAACAAAACAAAGCAAAGCTGGGCAGTGATGGTGCACGCCTTTAATCCGAGCACTTGGGAGGCAGAAGCAGGCGGATCTCTAAACTCGAGGCCAGCCTGGTCTACAAAGTGAGTTCCAGGGCAGCCAGAGCTAAACAGCGAAACCCTGTCTCGAAAAACCAGTAGTGATATTTCATTTTATTTTAATAAAACTTGCCTGAAGTGCAGAGAGTAAAACAGCCACAATGGCCAGCCTTACAGACCAGGCCGCAACAATACACACCTTTAATCCCAGTAGCCACACTAGTTTGCCGGAGAAACCTGGCAATGCACGCCTTTAATGCCAGAACTAGAAAGGATTGTAAAACGGGAGGAAAAAGAGCTGCGCTGAGGTCTCAGCCAACAGCCGCGGGCCAATGGTTCCCTGTTGAGATCCCGACTCCAGCCCAGGAGCAGTCTCGGAAGCGAAATTGTAAGGGGACTAAGAGGAACGCGTTTGGGACGCCGTTAGCAGCTGGAAATAGGGAATGGACTGTCAGACCAGACTTCCATCCTGTCCAGCCTGCCCTCCTTTCAGTCTTTTCATATTGTTATTCTGGGTTTGGACTGCGCTGGGAAGACGACAGTTTTGTATAGGCTGCAGTTCAATGAGTTTGTAAATACTGTACCTACCAAAGGATTTAACACTGAGAAAATTAAGGTAACCGTGGGCAATTCCAAGACAGTCACTTTCCACTTATGAGACGTAGGTAGTTAAGAGAAGTTAAGGCCACTGTGGAAGTCATATACCCGATGCACAGATGGCATCGTGTTCGTGATGGACTCTGTAGATGTGGAGCGAATGGAAGAAGCCAAAATGGGACTTCATAAAATAACTAAGCCATCAGAAAATCAGGGGGGTCCCTGAGCTTATAGTCGCTAACAAGCAAGACCTGAGGAACTCGCTGTCTCTCTCAGAAATTGAGAAATTGTTAGCAATGGGGAAACTGAGCTCGCCAGCCCCTTGGCACCTGCAGCCCACCTGTGCAATCATAGGAGACAGACTAAAAGGACTTGAGAAACTACACGGTACGATAATTAAAGAAGAAAAATGTTGCGGCAACAGAAGAGAGATGAGTGGCCGTGCCCTTAGTGTGGGTGTGGAAGGTTTCCGAGGGCTGGTTCTGACGAATTGAAGAGAGCCTGGTTTGCCTGTCTGCCCTCTCAGATGCTATCACAGATTTGTTTGGTTGAACAGTCCCCGACTTTGTTGCCTTGGGAAAGATGAGTAAATGCAATGCTTCTTAAAGTGCTCTCTTCTCCCCGACCCACAGATCTTTTGGTACTACCATTTTGAAGAGTCAAAAAAGGCTGGTAATTGGCCAGAAAACAATTGTGTGGAAATATTTGACCTGAAGTTAGTGAAATAAAACTTTGAAGAGTGAAAAAAAAAAAAAAACGCATACAACAACAACAAAAAGAGAGCTCTCAGACAGTCTCATTCTGAGATTCTTGGGAGGCAGAATCGCCATTTCAGACTGAGGTAGAGGTACGAGCCAATGGCTAGCTGTTTTACTTTTCAGACCTTCAGGTTAAATTACAATTTCTGAACGGGGCGGTGGTGTGGTGGCGCATGCCTTTAATCCCAGCACTTGGGAGGCAGAGGCAGGGGGATCTCTGTGAGTTTGAGACCAGCCTGGTCTACAGAGCTAGTTCCAGGAGAGGCTACAAAACCACAGAGAAACCCTGTCTCGAAAAACCAAAAAAAAAAAAAAAAAAAAAGGAAGCACTTGCTCTTTGCTTGCTCGCCCACTCTCCCTGGCAGGTCCACTTCTTTGCTGGCATTAGAACTTCTTCAGGATTCTGGCATGTAACTCAAGGCTAGCTGAGCAATCCTGCCTCACAGATTCCTGGACTTTACCCTGAGACAGCCACCTTTGGAATAGTTGGACCATAACCATAAGCCCCTCTAATAACCCCGAGTGTTTGTGTCTACATCCTGCCAGTTGTTTCTCTACAGAACCCTAGTACAGTGGCTTTTAAAACACATCTATGTAGCCCATTGTGCTACTCACTCCTATAACAAAATATCCGGTAAAAGCAATTTTAGGATTTTACCAACTAGCTACATACCCAGCTGCTTTCCACTTTTTCAGATGGGGTCTCTTGCTTAGATTGGTCCTACTTTGGCCACTCAACGTAGCTTTGTTTGTTTTTATAAGAATGTAGTATGTGTTTCTGTGAGTGCTTAGATGTGGAGGGTAGAGGACAACCTTGAGTGTCATTTTAGGAACACAATCTACCTCCTTTTAGACAGTCCTTGGCCTAAAGCATACCAATTAAGATAGACTGGCTAGCTAGCAAGCCCCAGAGAACTTCCTGTCTCTACCTGCTAAATGCTGAGATTAAAAGTGTAAACCTGCCAGGCAGGGGTGGCACACGCCTTTAATCCCAGCACTCAGGAGGCAGAAGCAGGCAAATCTCTGTGAGTTCGGGGCCAGCCTGGTTCCAGGACAGGCTCCAAAGCTACAGAGTTCCAGCCGTGTATCTACCCTCCTTATTTATGAGGGTGACAATACTCATAGGCTCTCTGCCCATCGGTGACTCAAAGCCAACAGCAGAGCTCTGGGTCCCATTCTACTAGGCTACTCCATCATGACTTCAGCAGATTTTTGAGACAGGGTCTCATGTAGCCAAGGATGCCCTGGACACCTGATCCTTTTGCCTCCATCTTCCAAGGGCTGAGATGTCACATGTGCAGCACCAGGTCCAGCCTCTAGTCGCTCTTGAGCTCCCCTTCAAGGAGCCACATACAGGACTGTAACCACCAGACACCAGCTCTCCCTCACGATACAACTTCCACACAAGTATGACAGCAACAAAGCAGCACTGAAGTTTTTATTCATGTGAATTATTAAAAATGGGCATCTATACCATGTCAAATGAGGGTGGGAGAGGAAGGCAGGGGAGGCAAGGAGAAGGAATTCCCGTCTATTGGTAATACAGCTCCAGGTTCATCCCATCATGGATTTCATCTGAGGACAGGTATTAAGGAATTCTCATTGAGGGCTGACTCTACCCCTCTAAACACTCACAGCTGGATCCTGGGCTCAACACCCAACCCTGGACTAAGGAAGCAATTTTGGAATGGGCACTTTGATCTAAGAACTCAAGCTATAAATAATGTAGAGTATCCCTGAAGAGCACTGAGAAGGCTAAGCTGTTTGCCACCAAAGCCTGGTGTAGTCAGATTCTCAGGTGCCCCCCCCCCACTATCACACAGACAACAATACATTTTCTTAAATGTTCATACTCAAGCTGGAGAGCTGGAGGGAGATCTCAGCAGTTGAAGAGCACCCAGAGGAACTGGGTTCAATTCCCAGCACTCACGTAGTGGTTCCAGGAACCTGAAGCTTTCTTGCCAGCAACAAGCATGCATGTGGTACACAGACATAACTGCAGAACCTCACCCCCAATTTTAAAAAATCATACTGGTTGTCAACTACAGTCACCTCTGAGTTACACTCCGCCCTCACTTCCTGTCCAACAACCATGTGGAGCTCAGTCATAAATATTTTGAACCTGATTGTTAAAATCCTTCTGAACCAAGTTAAACTATTCTACCACCCTCCTCAACAACAAAATAATTCTACAGTACCCATTTTCTCAGTAGTCACAACAGGCCACATTTTAAGTTAAATATCCCACTTTCTTAATTTCCTTGCAGGTTTCAGTATAGAACCAGAACTGAAAAGGATACAATCTCCCAGAGACACGTGGTCCTTAAAAATCGTGTACCTGAGGGACAGATACAGTTCAGTTCAGAGAGAAGCTGCTTTGGTGGGTGGGGTGGGGGTGGGCTTTTGTCTTGAAAGCATAGCTGATCCTTCATGGGGGTTGCCTGAGGCGCTCCCCCAACCAAAACCTTCTAGCCTAATGCGGACCAGCGCACTTACCACTTTTTAAGAACGATCTTATTCCACCGGGTGCCAGTTTGAGCCGCTATCAGTTTCTTCAAGTCCCCGATGGTGTCATCGGTGCTGGGCACGAAGGAGTTAAGGTAAATGGATGGAAGAGATAGAACGAGGAAGATGATGTTAGGCCTCCCCATCTACGTCATTTAACTACAATTTCCCCACCATCGCCAACTGCCCCAGAGACCACTGCCAGTCACCCCTCGGAGGATACTTGCACTTGACGCGGACTTTCTTTCCTAGACGGTCGTTACAAACCACCTCAATCATTGTGGCTGGACCTACGCCGGGTAGAGGGAGAGGAAGGAAGGCAGCAGTGTCAGGACTTTGCGGGTCTTCCAGACGCCCAAGGACCTTTCTCGAGTTAAGTTCTTTGGTCACGCTACCCCGAAAACCGGACACAAATCCGCCGCAGCCCTGGTCCAGGGTCTCAATGGCGCGGACGCTAGTCAGTCGCGTCTTCTGCCCCTTAACTCCCGCAGGCCCAGCCCCGCACCCCCTGGCTTCGCCTCTCGCATCCCTTAGCCTCCCGAGTCTCAGCCGCTTCCCGTGATCCCGGGCCTCTCGGTTTACCTCGCTCACCTCTAAACCCCTCGAACTTATCGACGACACAACTCCTACCTCGAACGCCGAGCTCTGACCCGATTTAAGGCAAGCAACAGGAAGCGGAAGTGCTATAACGGAAACACCCGCCCTCAGTTGCTTCCAGGTTCCTGGCGTTTCGGTGGCGCAGTTTTGGTGAGCCGAGGCTGGGTAAAAAGGCTGAGATTAAATGACGATCCTAGTGGATTTACAGCCGACGTTGAAAGCGATGTTGGAGATCCCTTCGTTTTGGAGGAGGCCCAGAGGATCCTCAGAGGCGGGGTGCTCTGCCATCCCCAAGCCAAATGAACCTACCGAAGAATCCCGGCTGCGGAGGGGCGGAACTGGAGTCATGCAGGTCCCGTGGCTTTCGGGCTCTCTGCTTTTATTCAAAGCTCAGTCTCGGACCCTGGGCCTGCCTTTCCCCTCTGACCGGAGTAACTGTTTCCGAGACCCGAGTGGTGCAGACCGCAGTTGATGAAAGTCAAGCCGGAAAGCCATGTTGCACACCACACCGTACGTCCGTGTCTTGCCTGCGAAGATGCTGGAAACAGCTTACCAGAAAAGATCTGCTTTTTTTTTTTTCATTTTTTAAAAATCTTCAAGGGTCCCCTTGTTTCAGATTACAGAACCGCAATAGGTGATGGGAGAGGAATCCCATACTACATTCAACCAGTTTTCACCTCTACTGATTCTACTGAATGATTCCTTTAGCAGACAGGACTCTCAGTAAGGTAAGCACATATTGACTCATTTTTTAAAATTAGCTTAAATTTTTTGAGATAGGGTATCGGTGTATAGACCAAGCGGACTTCGAAATTGTGATACTCATGTCCAGCCTCGAAAGTTGCTGGTATTGTATAGCCCTGTGTGTTAGAAGCCAGCCTGGTCTATATAGCGAGTTCCAGGACAGAGCTTTGTAGAGAGGCTGGTTCAAAAGAAAAAGGGGCTGGAGAGATGGCTCAGAGGTTAAGTGCACTTTTTAAAAAAGAAAAAATTAGCTAATACCACTTATACAAATTTTATCCTTATGCGTAGGCCGCAAAAAGCATTACTTTCGCTTTTTATTGCTGCTTGTGGCCACGCCTTCCTGGCTTGGCAGGCCTGCCGGCCCCTCAGCCTCACCGCATTTACACTTTTTGGTCTGGAATGAAGTCCTTAGTGTTTTAATCTGTTCCAACCTCTCACCGATGCCTCATTTCCGTTTCCAAAATACTTCCCAGGCTCTATGGAGAGTGAGCTACAGACTCGTGCATACGTACCAGAAAAGTGGGGTTTCTTTTTTTTCTCTTTTCTTTTCTCTTCTTCCTCCCTCCCTCCCTTCTTCCCTCCCTCCCTCCTTCCTTCCCTCCCTCCCTCACTTCCTCCCTTTCTTTCTTTTTTGATGTTGGAGATCGAGCCTAGGGCCTTCTAGCTTGTAGCCAGGGGCTCTCCCACTGAGTTGCACACCTAGCTCCTTGCTCATCCATTGCTTCTGCCTCCAGCGATGTTTTTAGGGTTCCGTCCCAAGTCTTAGGCACTCCTCCAGTCCTGACTGTCCCCCCCAATCCCTCCCTGTGCCGCCCACCCATTCCAAACTTGCCTTCATCCCCTGTATTGGACCTTGTTCCGCCTAAGCTGGGCTTTACAAGTTTGCTCTTTGGCCCCCTGGTTCTTTCTTGATAGACCTCTGCGCCCCTTCCCACTCAAGTCATGATTTCTCGGCTTGCTGCTGTTAGCTTTCCCCTGCCCTCTGGGCATACGATCTGCTCCCAGCCTGGTCTCTGCCTTGGTCACATCCCTAAACCTCTTTCAGCTCAAGTACAGCCTTCTGAGCACGCCACTTGACTCTGCGCGCCCCGTAGTCTCTAGTCTCTTTCTGCTGAAGCTAAGCCTGACTGCCTCCTGCTGCTCCTTTGCCCCTGGCTACACCCGTCCGCTCTGTCGAGGCTTTTTACTCCCCAAACATACCCCCAACCCCCGTCTCTCGCGCGGCTTTCTCTGTCTCCCTCCCTCTCCCCTCCCCTAAAGCCCCGTCCCCTGGGCTTGGCCACGCCCCAGAGCCACACCCCTCCGGCCGGAGCCTCACCTTCTAGGCCTGCCGCTTTCCGAACCTCGTCTGCTGGCCTCGGCTCGCCACGTCTCCAGGCTCTGGCTACGCCCTGAGCCCCCCTCCTTGCCGGGGCCACGCCTTCTGGGTGGCCCCTTGGCCCCCTGGCCCCCTCTGGGTTAGCTGCACGTTTTTAGCGACACTTCCTGGCCACGCCCCCGGGACGCCCCGAGCCCGCCTTCTGGGTTTGCTATCCGCCTTCCACCCTGGCTCTAGCCACGCCTCGTATCCCCTCCTCACCCAAGCCACACCTCGGTTTGCCTCCCCCAGCCTCACCGCTGCTCAAGTCTGGCCTACTCAGACTCCAGTCCCTGCCTACCACCAGTCTTCCAGCCGGGCGGCCCAGCCCCGGGGCCTCAGCCTCTACCCTAGGAAAGGAAGGTAGTGCTCCTCTGCAGGCGTCCGAAAGTCGCACAGGTTTGGCCAGTCCGGCCACCTCAGCGCCCTCAGGGGAGCGCGGGCCTTGCCGCCACCGGAAACGGAAGCGCAGGACAGCAGGACCATGGCGACGCTGTTTGACCTCCCAGACTTGGTGCTCTTGGAGATCTTCTCATACCTCCCGGTCCGGGACCGGATCCGCATCTCCAGGTGCGGCCCCGCTCCTCGGGGGAAAGAGCCGGGCAGGGGCTCAGCAGGAGATGCGAATCCGGTCCCAGCAGGCCGGGGTCGTTCTAATGGCCGGTCCACTCCTTCAGGGTCTGTCACCGCTGGAAGAAGCTAGTGGACGACCGGTGGTTGTGGCGACATGTCGACCTGACGCTCTACACGGTATGCGATAGGCGGGACCCGCGGACAGTTCACGGAGAGCCAGCCTCCTGCCCAGAAGTGGGGTTCGCTTTGTTTTGCTTTCTAGTGTTTATTTGCTCGTTTTATTTGTTTATTAATTTTTCTTTCTAGATTTTTTGTTTGTTTCTTTGGGGGAGGGGAGGTTGTTTTGAGACAGGGTCTCTAGTCCTGACTGCCCTCACACTTCCTTAAGAAGCTGAGGATAACCTTGAATTTCTGATCCACCTCGACCTTCTAATACAAGGATTACCAGTGTGGGTCCCTATGACCGGTTTCTGTGATGCTGGAAATGTAATTTTGGCTCCCTGAGAGCTAGGAAAGCACTTTACTGATTGGGCCGAGGGCTTCCAGCTCACTACCCCTGACCTCAACCTCCTTGGTGCTAAGGTTACACAGGTGTAGGCCACCTTGTCTGGCCCAGAAGTATTTGGTTTTTATTTGTGGTCCCCCCCCCCCCCAAGACAGGATTTCTCTGTAGCCCGGCTATCTTGGAACTCACTTTACCCTCCTTCCTTTGGCTCTAAAGGTGGAGCTTGCACCGACGTTCCCAGCTGGTTTGGTTTTCCTTCCCTCCCTCCCTCCCCTCCCTCCCTTCCTTCCTTTGTTTTTTTCTCCTTCCTTCCTTCCTTCCTTCCTTCCTTCCTTCCTTCCTTCCTTCCTTCCTTCCTTCCTTCCTCCTTTCCTTTTCTTTTCTTTTCCTTCCAGGGTTCCTCTGTGTAACAGCCTTGGCTGTCCTGGAACTCGCCCTGTAGTTCAGTCCTCGAACTCAGGAGATCCACCTCCCTCTGCGTCCCAAATACTGGGATTAAAGGTGTGCACCACCACTGCCGAGCTTGGTTGGTTGGTTTTGAAGTGAGTTCATGCTGTGAGTTCCTGCATGTCTATCCTGGCACTAGTCCTTACCTTCTCAGCAACCCCCAGACCTCAGTTTCTCATCCAAGAAATGGGGATTAAAAAGAGTGCTTATTTGACCCTAATGAAGCCCTGGACTCTATCCCTAACACCAGGAGATAAGAAAAAGTACCTGCCTGCCTGATGTATTGTAGGACTTAGCCAGTTGCATAGGGAGATGGTTTAGACCATATCTGGTCTCCAGCATATGATAAATGAAAACTTATAGCTATTATCGATTTTTTGGTTTTGTTCTCTTTTGGTTTTTGAGATGGATCTCATGTAGCCCAAAATAGATTCTGGCTATAACTGTTCATCTCAAAGTGGATAAAGTGGACAAGAGTTTATTCTGGAGCCAGATGTGAGTGATTGTGTCTTGAGAATACAGTTAGTCTTCCTCAAATACATGTTTAAACCTAATGGTTACATGAAATTTTATTTATTTATTTATTTATTTTTGAGGCAGGGCTTCTCTGAGTCCTGGAACTCACTCTCTAGACCAAGCAGACTGGCTTTGAACTCTGAGAGGACTTGGGGTGGGGGGAGGCTAGAGGTTAGGCTCTCCTAGTAGCCCTGACAGAGACCAGGCCTCAGATTCGGTTCACTAAATTGGGACAGAGCTAAGCAGACAGTCCTCAGGAAAACCACAGCTGAGGAACAACCAATCAGCAGGCGCCCCACAGCCTTCTGCTAGCTCAGCAAGTATCCCATGACCCCTTCTGCTGGCTCAGCAGGCGCCCCCCCCCCAAGTCTCCTGATAACTAGAGATAGCTTCTGTATCCTGCTACTGGAAGGTTCCTAACCACTAGGACCTTCCACCAGTCAGCCCCCAGACTCATCATTCCTCCACCAATCAGATAAATCCTTCCTCCCTGGAATTCCCCTAACTCCAATTCAAAGAAGCTTTTGACCTTCTTGGGGGGTTGCCATGTACCACCCCAATGTTGGAATTAATAAAGCGCTCTTGCTGTTGCATACGTGGCTGTTGGTCTTTCCTTTGGGATTTCTCTTGGACCCTAACAAACTCAAGAGATTCCTGAGTGCTGGTATTAAAGGTGTTACTACCACCGCCCAGTGAAATATTATAGTAACAGAATAGAGAAAGTCATATATCAAGACACCTTTCAAAAGGTGGAGCCATCTCTCCAGCAACTCTCTGAAAAAGTGGTCAACAAAATCTGTACTGTAAAGCTGAGCCTGGTACAGGCCTGTGATCCCAGTTACTACACACACACTCAGGCTGAGGGAAGAAGACCATAAATTCAAGGCCAGCCAGGGCGACTTAGCTAGACCCTGTCTTGAAATACAGATTCAGAAAAGCCTTGGAACTGTGACTTTGTTCTAGCATGTTTTCCTGGCCTGTATGCCGCCCTGAGTTCATTCCCCAGTGCCAACAAAAACAAGGGTATGCTCTGAACTGGTGAGGCTGAGTTCACAACATGTCCTGGATTCCATCCCAACACCAGCAATGAATCTCTTGTTCTCTGCAGCTTTTTTTCTTCTTTTTGGAAAAAGTGTACATTTTTTGTGTATGCACAGGTTGCAGATGCATGTGTTCAAGAGCATGTAGGGCCAGAGGTTACTGAAGGGCATCTTCCTCAACTTCTTTCTCTCTCACACACACACATTTGTGCACACACATGTTTGTTTGTTTGCTTGCTTGCTTTGTTTTGTTTGACACAGGGTTTCCACTATGTAGCCTGAACTTGGTATGTAGACCAGACTAGCCTGGAATTGCCTCCATGCCCACCCGTGCTGGGATCAAAGGTGTGTGCCACAACTCTGGACTGTTTGCTTATGTTTGAGACAGACTCTTCCATGAAGTTGGAACCTACTGATTGACTAGACAGGCTGGCCAGAACTTTGGTCCTCCTGCCTCAGTCTCCCCTGTGTGCTGGCTGGGTTTGAGGACAAGTTACCCAGCTTTAGGGAAGGAAACTGGTGGAAGAGCCAAATCCCAGTGGGACACCAGAACCCAGATCCCATGCATGTCTGTCACCAGTTAGGTAGGTCTCTGAGAGCCCCTGTACCCCTCACCCAGTCACCCCAATCTCTGGCTCTTACAGATGCGTCCGAAAGTCATGTGGCACCTTCTGCGCCGATACATGGCATCCAGGCTGCACTCGCTGCGCATGGGTGGCTACCTGTTCTCTGGCTCTCAGGCCCCACAGCTGTCCCCGGCCTTGATGCGGGCCCTGGGCCAGAAGTGCCCCAACCTGAAGCGCCTGTGCCTGCACGTGGCTGACCTGAGCATGGTGCCTATCACCAGCCTGCCCAGCACGCTGAGGACCCTGGAGCTGCACAGCTGCGAGATCTCGATGATCTGGCTGCAGAAGGAGCAGGATCCCACAGTGCTGCCACTGCTGGAATGCATCGTGCTGGACCGAGTGCCAGCCTTCCGGGATGAGCACCTGCAGGGCCTCACCCGCTTCCGAGCCTTGCGCTCGCTGGTGCTGGGCGGCACCTACCGGGTTACCGAGACCGGGCTGGATGCCAGCCTCCAGGAGCTCAGCTACCTGCAGAGACTGGAGGTGCTGGGCTGTACCCTATCAGCCGACAGCACCCTGCTGGCCATCAGCCGCCACCTCCGAGATGTGCGTAAGATTCGGCTGACCGTTGGAGGCCTCTCAGCCCAAGGCCTGGTCTTTCTGGAAGGAATGCCTGCCCTGGAGAGTTTGTGCTTCCAGGGACCCCTCATCACCCCAGAAATGCCTACACCTGCTCAGATTGTGTCCTCTTGCCTCACCATGCCTAAACTCAGAGTGCTTGAGGTGCAAGGGCTGGGCTGGGAGGGCCAGGAGGCAGAGAAGGTCCTGTGCAAGGGCCTACCCCACTGCATGGTTATTGTCAGGGCCTGTCCCAAAGAATCTATGGATTGGTGGATGTGAAGGCACCACCCATCCATCCCTGGGATCTATCTAGCTTTTAAAGTTGACCTTCTCAGCAGCAAACTGAAGCATGTACATTAATCAGGCTTGAGGAAACCGGAGGTCACGAGGAAAAGAAGCCAGGACCTTGGGGCCTGCAGAGCTGGGGTTTTCTGTCATCTGGATGTCCTCAGCCTTGTCACCCAGTCTCTGGGAGGCCCAGTTCACACATTTAGGAACAGGCATCATTGCTACCTCATGATTCATTTGCATATCTTTACCCTCCACCCTTTCCCCCAGTACCTGGGGATCAAACCCACGGCCTTAGGTACATTAGGCCAGCACTGCTGTGCTCCTGAGCAACACTGGAGTCCTGGATAGCCTTCATCTCTAAAGGACCCCAGAAGACCACTATAGAGGGGCCGTTTTCAGGGTGCAGGTGGGCAGAGTTCAGGGTTCTGAGGTCTGCCTGGTTGTCTGCCAGATGCTTGGGAAATGAGGTCAGGGGGCAAGGAAGACAAGCTGTTGAATTGTCCTAGTGTTCAAAAGGATTCTCAATGGTATTTTCTGTATTTTGTATCCTGCCTTTTCCAAGTTTTCTACAGTATATAGTATTTTACTATTAAAGAAAAATAATGTTTTTTTCAAAGTGTATTCCGTTTATTTAACGAGGGTTGCTCCTCCCCAGTACTTACTCACGTGCAGTTTTATTTATCCTTTATTACAGTTCCTTGTTTTGTGTTCATGTGTTTGTGCTGTAGCAAACATGTGGAGGCCAGAGGACACTGTAGGGATCAGTTCTCTCCTTCTCTCCTGTGGGTCATAGGGATCAAACCTAAGTAAGTGCTCAGTCTTGGTGACCAGTGCCTTTACCATTCAGCAGCCTTGCCGGGCTATTATTTTTAGACAGGAGCTCATTAATGACCCTGAACTCCAGGTGTAACTGAGGATGACTTTCAAGTCCCGAGTGCTAGGATTTTAGGTGTATACTGCCACTCTCTGTTATGGGATGCTGAGGATGGAAGCCAGGGTTTTGAGTGTGCCAGGCAAGCACTCTACCCACTGAGGCACATTACCAGCCCTTTGCAGGCACCGTTCTTGGTACGGGGCTGCACAGTGAGCAGATGCAGTTGGAAGTGTAGATGGCAGGAGCCTAAAGTAAACATATCTGTGAGCCAGGCGTGACCAGTATTCAGGAGATCAGCCTACAGGGCTACAGTAGAATGAGACTCAGTCTCCAAAACAAAAACATCCTCGGGATCATTTCAGAGCCTCTCAGGCAGAAAGCCAGGGTTGGGATGCAGACACTGTTTAGAGTGGGCCTCTTCAGAAATCAGAGGAGAGGACAGCTAGGGAATGGCAGGAAAGGCCAAGTCTAGAGACTGGGTTCCAGGGTGCGCCTCAGTGGCAGAGCCCTTCCCTAGAATCCAAATTGGGGGGAGGGGGGCCTGGCAAGAAGACTCAGGAGTGAAGGTGCTTTCTGCCAAGGCTGAAGATCTGAGTTCCATCCCAATGGTGAACAGAGAGCTCACTCCTGCAAGTTGTCCTCTGACCTCCACGCGTGCTGTGGCATGAGTGGACACCTGCATTTGCACACATGCGTGGACACATACACACGCACACACAAATGTAACAACGAAAAGACCCTGAGATAGAAAATGAATTGGCCATTTTCAGAAACAAGAACATGTCTTTTTTTGTTTGTTTGTTTTTTGTTTTTGTTTTTTTTTTCGAGACAGGGTTTCTCTAGCTTTGGAGCCTGTCCTGGAACTTGCTCTTGTAGACCAGGCTGGCTTTGAACTCACAGAGATCCACCTGCCTTTGCCTCCCAAGTGCTGGGATTAAAGGCATGCACCACCAGCTGGCAAGAAACAACATTTCTGTAGCATAGTCAACCAGGAAAAAGATGGAGCCTGTCAGGTCAGAGAGATGGAAGCAGGGCCCGTTTGTGGGGCTCAGTGTGTACTGGTGCCTCTTCCTGTTTTTTTGAGTTGTAACAGCTTGATCATGCAGGTGCCAAATGCTTGGTGATACCGAGCGTATAACTTTGATCTGAGCTTGGGGACAACGTACATCTGTGGTCTCACCACCTGCTGTGGGTTAGGTTATCTGTTGGAGCTCTAAACCCAGAGGTAGCTGCATTAGATGTGTGTTGGGAGGGATTAGGTCAAATGGGCAAGTCCCTCATGAATGAGATGAGTCCCTGTCAAAGATACTTCTGAGAGGGGCTGGGGAGCTATTGAAGTGTGCAAGAGCACTTGCACACGCGTGAGGTACTGAGTTCAAATCCCCAGCGCCGACAGAGAAAGCCACACAGAAAGCCAGCCTAGCTCCAGTTTTAATGAAAGAGACTTGGTCATCCATAAGGGAACAAGGCAGGAAGTGACAGCAGCATATCTTAGCATGTGCACACGGGTGCAGCCTCCTTCCCCCACATAGTTAAAAATTGCTCCCTCCCTACGCCCTCTGCCATTGCACAATGTGACCGACCATCCGAGGACACAGGAGAAAGGCATGTGACCCGTGAGGTCCTCAGCTGACATCACACCTACAGCTTGATCTTGGACTTCGAAGCTTCCACAGTTGTAATATAGTGATATATTATTTGTGTTTTAATAAATAAAACTTACCTGAAGGTCAGTGCAAAGCAGGCCAGACTAGTCAGCCACACAGACCAGGCAGTGGTGGCATACACCTTTAATCCCAGGAGCCACACTAGTTAACCACACCTCTAATCCCAGCACTAGAGAGGAATATGAGGCAGGATGAGACAGGAACGCTTTCTCTTTCAGTCTGAAGTTATCAAAGAGCTTTCTAATGGCTTGGCTGCTTTTGCCTTTCTCATCTTCAGGTTGAGCCCCGATATTGTTTATTATTCAGGCCAGTACATTTCTGGGTGGGGTGGGGTGGGAGTGCAGCCAAGCGTGTAGCAGTCAGAGGCCAGCTTTCAGAAGTCACTTCTGGCCTTCCACTATGGGTTCTTAGGGTCAAAGCCAGGTGGCCAAGCTTGTGCAGGAAGCATCTTTACCCACTGAGCCCTCTTGGTTTAATTTTTTGAGACAAGGTCTCCCTATGCAGCCCTGGGTGGCTTGGAACTCAGTAAGTAGACTGAGCTGGCCTTGAACTTGTGATTTTTCTGCCTCTGCTTCCCCTGTGCTGAGATTAAAGGTGTGTGCCCTTGCCTGGTTAATAATTTTCAGTTGCCAGTGTTTTTGTGCACACACTTTGACTCTGGTTGAGCTGCTGTACCAGATACGGTGTCCTTGCTTGAGCAGATTAATACATCTCACAGTACATGATGTGCAGCTGTTGTTTAGCAGGTCTTTTTCTCGGTACCTGTCCATAAGGATCCCCAGAAGCACTTTGCTTTCAGTTGGCAAGGGCAGCAGTATAGGTCTTAGGGTTTTCTATTGCTGTGAAGAGACACCATGACCACAGTGACTCTTATAGAAAACATTTAATTAGGGCGGCTCACTTACAGTTTTAGAAGTTCAGCCCATTATCATCATAACAGGAAGCATGGTGGGGTGCAGGCATATGTGGTGCTGGAGCTGAGAGTATTACATCGTGCAAGGCAACAGGAAGTCGACTGACTGTCACACTGAGGGAAACTTGAAAAAAAGGAGACCTCAAAGCCTGTCCCCATAGTGACACACTTCCTCCAACAAGGTCACATTTCCTAACAGTCCCACTTCTTTTGGGGGGCCATTTCCTTTCAAACCACCACAGTATAACTTTACAGTTTTACCTCAAGGATATGTTAACTCTCCAGCCCTGTGCCATAACTTAGAAGAGATGTCGTTTATCTGTCTCTTTCACAAAAATATTACATTGACACACTATATTGATGACATTATGCTGATTAGACCAAGTGAGCAAGAGGTAGCAATTGAACTCATTGGTTCAATATGCACATGGGAGATAAAGCCAACCAAAATACAAGGGCCTTCTACCCCAGTGAAATTCCTAAGAGTCCAGTGCTGGGGGGCATGCAGAGATAGTCCTTTTAAGGTGAAGGATAAGTTATTGCACTTGGGTCCTCCTACCACCAAGAAAGAAACACATTTTTTTAGTGGGCCTATTTGGATTCTGGAAACAGCACATTCCTCCCTTGGGTGTGTTACTCTAGCCCATGTACCAAGTGACTCAGAAAGCTGCCAGCTTTGTGTGGAGCCTGCAACAAGAGAAGGCTCTTCAGAAGGTCCAGGCTGCTGTGCAGGCTGCTCTCCCACTTGGACCATATGATCCAGCAGACCCCATGGTACGCGAGGTGCTAGTGGCACATAGGGATGCTGTTTGGAGCCTTTGGCAGGTCCCTTAGGTGACCTTTGGGATTATGGAACAAGGCTCTACCATCATATGCAAACAACTGTTTTCCCTTTGAGAGACAGCTGATATTGAGCCTTAGTGAAAACTGAACATTTGGCAATGGGCCACCAAGATACCATGGAACCTGAGCGCCTGTTATGAGATGGGTGTTAACTGACCCATCAAGTCATGAAGTAGGACGTATACAGCAGCAGCAATCTGTTATCAAATGGAAGTGGTGTATATGTGATTGTACCTGAGCAGGTCTTGAAGGCACAAGCAAGTTACATGAAGAAGCTGCCCAAATGTCTATCATTTTGACTCCCATTACAATGCTGTCTGCTACCAAGTATGTGCTCCCTATGATAGGTTGTCAGTGTGTCATTCAGGCACCACCCAGATGTGCACAGCTGCAACATTATGTCCTTATTCTGGGATAACCCTGGAAGACACCAGGGAAGGTCTTCCCAGTTGGCAGAACTCTGGGCAGTACACCATACATTTTGTTTGGAAGGAAGAATGATCAGATGTGCAATTGTTTACTGATTGATGGGCTGTGGCCAATGGATTTCTGGATGGTCAGGAATTTGGAAAAAGCAGAATTGGAGAACTGATAAGAAAGACATCTGGGGAAGAAGTATGTGAGTAAATCTCTCCAAAAATTGTTGAAGGATATGAAGATACTTGTGTCCCATGTAAATGCTCACCAAAACATGACCAGCTGAGGAAGTATTCAGTTATCAAGTAGGTAGTGTTGGACCCTAGAGTCTAATCACCGAGGAGGAGTCGACCCCCAGAGACTGTATCTCACCACCACAGCTGATGTAAAAGCATGAGGATTTTATTAATTCTGTCATGACAGGGTCTTCCAGCATTAGGGAAGCTAGAAAGACCCCGAATAACTGATACAGGCTACTTTTAAAGGAAAAGTCACAGAAGCAAATGGGGGGGTATCTAGGGGTTGTTCTTTGACTATTATGATTGGCTTATTCAAAAAGGCTACTATCAATAATTGGCTGGAGAGTGGTTGCCAGATCAGATGAGGTAAGAGGTCACTTTGACCCCGTTTCCCAGGGACTAAGTCAAAACATCAGTAACCGAGTCAATACCTAGGGTTATCTTGCCCCTATTCAATAACTGAGTTCTATTTGGAGAACATTCACAAGGACTCAGGGAGATGATGGAAAGTTCCCAATATTTTAGTACATTTGTGAGCAATTGTTAGGTCCTTGGTTCCCAGGAGAAAAGGAGGGAGCATTACTACTGAGACTGAGAGGGCTCAGAATTGTTATAAATGGCTTCAGAATTTTCTTCAAGTTTTACCCATTCCTTGGACAGTCA